GGGTGTCGGTTAGGTTATAGTATTTATAACTACAACTAGCATATAAAAACATCTGAAGTCCATGCAATGTCCTCATTTAGCTAAGAAAATGTTTATGTACTGTGTGTGTGTGTGTGTGTGTGTGTTTAACCTCTTTGTCCATGCTCTCCAGGTCTTCTTTGCAGAGTGTGTAGAGCGGCATGGTTTCAGACATGCTGGGCTGGCGTTTCCTGCGGGAAGGTCCAGGCTGCTCATCGTCAGGACTCGATCCTGCAGCCTCATCCGTCTGCTGAGACCCCTGAGCTGACCTGAACAAACACAGAAACAATCAATCGCTCAACATGCACACTCCAGATCAGCGGCTGCTGTAATCAGTCACCGGCTGAAATATGTTTATCAAGCAAAACTGGCTGAGTTTGCTCTGACAGAACACCAAAGCAGGACAGCGGCTCCCCCGGTCTGAGCAACACCTAAAAACCAATCGAGAGCAAATCAAACACATACACACACAGCTCAAGCCTGTCCACAGCAGACAGCAAACATTCAATCACATCTCCACTTCCTTCAGAGGAGCCACAACATGGAGATAGATGGTCAGTGCAGACAGCGTCTGAACCGATTAACCTCACTACATGTGAGCAGGGCTCCAAACAAAAAAATAGAGTAAGGAGCCATTGGCTCCTATAAGAAAAAAACTTAGGCGCCAAATTATTTTTTAGGTGCCACAGAATAAAAGTGTTTTATTTTTTTTACATTTTTTTTTTTTACATTTTAACATTTCAATCATACCAATGTGTTTATGTCTCATCTTTTCTTGACTTTATCAGCATTTTAATGGAAGAACCTTTACATTTCACAAAAGGTTCTTTGTGGCGAAAGAACGCTCTTCAGATTATAAAAAGTTAAGAAAGAGATGGTTCTTTAAAGAACCTTTGACTGAATGGTTCTTTGTGGAACCAAAAGGACACCGAATGGTTATTCTGAGGTATATTACATTACAATGTTTACAAGCTTTTCACGTTTTCCGCAGTTTGAAACACTGAATGAGCTTTTACATGAGACATTTCAGTAAGTTGAACTGTAGGCTCTCCTCTTATAAAATAGCCTACCTTTTGATGTTAATTCATGTTCATTATGTGCTATAGTAGTAACCGCTAAAACTTTGATGCGCATCGTCTCAGTTTAATACGTGAACATAACAAAAGATGTGATCGCAAAACAATCAGGAAAAAAGGCATTACATGCACATTTTTAAGTTATAACATGTAAATACATAGGCCTAGTCGCCATTTGCGACCTCAGCAAAAACTTAACTCGCAATTTAATACTTTTGGTCGCAAATGCGACCGTTTTAGTCGCAGTTTGGAGCCCTGGTGAGTCTGTCGGTTTCAACAAAGTATTGAACAAGCTTTTTTTTATCAATGTGTTCTTAAAAACTTGAATCCAAAATCTGCATACAATTTTTGAAATCTGGGACTGTTTTGACCTGGTAGAATGCAAGCTTATAAAACAGTCATAGATTACAGTTTTTTTCAAATAAAACCACATTTTATCTGCTCAATAACTTCTCATTAATGAGTGAAAGCACAAACATTTCGGAGTTTTGAATGTTACTGTGTTTTGTTATTACATTTCTTCCCTTTCAATTAAAAAAATTTACATTTAAAATTTCTAAAACAACTTGGCAAAAAAACACTGTGATGAAAGAAAATAAATATTCGTTATAAATTTTATTTGAATATAACTACATTGAAATCAATGTATTTAATTAAATTCCTTTGAATTTATAACTCCTGACTGCTCAAAAACAGTCCAAATTTATGAAACCTACAATTTTATTTTCTAACAAAACATAACTATTACTCTAAATGTTTTCAAACATAATAGTGAAAGTTTATGCAGGTAAACGTAACATTTCATTATTCAACAGGCATGAACAAAATTTAGTCACAAAAGTGTGTGAGATATGGGAAAAGAGGCTAAATATTTTTTACAAAAGTATTTTTGAGACAAGTCATATTTAAAAATGTAAAAAAAAAAAATCTGCATAACATCATGTGTAAAACTCTCAGTTGACACCTGGGGTAAAATGGATGCAAATGCAAAAATAGTCATTATCTCAAACATTTTTGAAAAAATCTACACAAATGTTCAGCACTAAAGTTAAGCACAAAGTTTGTTAAAGGTGAGGTCAGAGCAAGTTTAAACTTTGTTAAAACATCGATTCACACAATCTCTCATTTTGTTTCATTTCATAATCAGAGTAACAGAAGACCTAGATGCAAAATGCTGACTCGCAACACTCTGCAGAAGTGTCTTCTTGGAAAGGTCAGCATGTCAGGTCAAGCTCATCAGAAAATCATCACTAGCCAACCTACTGTCATTACACTGACAAAACACTGTCTGCGGTTGTAGGAAACAGCAAGATAGATGCAAGACAGAAAGAAAGAAAAAAAAAAAAACTTTCATAGTGTAGAGAACGTACACTGATATAACATGGTAATTAGCAACAGTCATTTAAGCAGCGCTCGTCATTTACTCCCGACATCTGAGCCACTGAAGACACAGTGGATTAGCTTTGTTTTTGAAAGGAATGCGCCCCCGATCTGCCTAAATGCATTTAACTTTGCGCAAATCATTCGTGATCCAGCCTCACCTACAGAAGAAGTGAGTATAAGGTTATTTTATGAATCATTGCAAATTGCCTTTCCTAATAATGTGCTAGTTAGCAAGTTCCGCGGCTCAAGTAAACAGTCTCATTAGAATGGCTCGTCACCACACGGAAGAGAGGGGTGGGGTGAGCAGAGCTCATTAGCATTTACGAGTTGCTGAAAACAGAGCTGATTTTGACAAGGTAAAAAGAGTGTTGTTTTACACTACCATTGAGAAATTTTAACCAAAGTATGTTATAGACTTTTTATTAAGACCCTAAAGAATCATATCAACTTGTGGAAAATGGGCATCTGATGACCCCTTTAATAACCATATAATCATGAGCATGAAACTGGGAGTAGTCAATAAAGTTTAACTTTAAGAACTTTTTAAAACTATTCAGACATTTTTTTCTTTTTGATGAACTTTCCACATCTAGTTCTTGGTCGGTTTCTTAATTTAACTTAAACAACTTCAAAGCTTCAAAAAGGACATGACTCCAAGTGCTATAATCAGTCTACCACCCATTAATTGCAAAAAGCTTTATGCTTTGTTACATTTGAAATAAAGTCTCAGTTTTCATATTCTGTCCAATTTTATGACAAAATTCAAACAATAAAAGTCATTTTGATGCTCTTTAATGTGGCGTGACCGATTGCATTTGCATCACTACTAATTAATTATCTATATATTTGTTGTTTTTTCACTAACTTTCGCTTCACCTTTTGAAATAGTTATTCTCACCAAGCAAAATTAGTTACAAATCTAGTGATATTTCTTGTTCTCCATGAGAAGCTTAAAACTGTCAAGAGCATTTAAAGAGCTGATCTTGATCTTGGTCATGTCACCTGACAGACATTAAACGCTCTGTCAACCACAGTCAGAATTCATACTGAATCCGATAATGTCCCGTTGCCGTGTTTTAAAGGTGCAGTATGTAATATTGACAGCTAGTGGTTGTAACGGTTACTGCAGTCCAAATTCAAAACATTGGAGAGAGTTGTTTCTCCCGCCCCCCCTCCTCAGACTTGAAACTCGCGTGGGTTGCCAGATTGAGGACACGCAACAAGAACGCAATAGACAATGGAAGGCGGCGAGCCTTACTTTGTAAGTTGAGTTGATTTTTCTGTGCTTTAATATTCCTCGTCATAGAACTTTGTAGATGGATGTTGAGGTTTTTTTAGGTCGAATCTGCAATTTAAGATCCAGTTCGTTTGCTGGCTTCCATAGAAGCAATATGCTGTGTTTTACCAATTGGCAACCCGGGGTGTCGAAATACTATTGGGTAAACTGGCAGTGGGTAGGGTTGTGACGGTGAGGAAATTTTCCCACCGGTTAATCGAAATACCCTTGTAGCAGTTTACTGTTAGAGAACATCCCAACGCTGCTGACAGCAACATTTAGATGAATATGTACTGCATACATAATGACAACGGTGAGAAACCAGCAGTTAAGAAAGCATCTGACTGCAGCAATGTCTACATGTTTTCACCAGTTCTGCAATTTGGCACTCCAGTAAAATCCAGTAAAGTTGATTTATATAGTGCTTTATAGTGTTGTCAAAAGACCCGGTATTTCGGTACCAAGTCGGTACTAAAAAAATGAAAACGTTACGGTACCAGGTTTTTTTTAAGTACCGGTGGTACCGAGTACCCGGTCAACCCGGTTCTTGATGCGCTATCGAAAAGCTATCCTCTTCCAGTGTTGCCAAGTCCGCAAGTATAAAGAATGGCATTGGTTTTGTACATTTAATTTTTGTTTAACGTTATTAATAAAAATGTTGTTCAATTAGCATGTTTTTGTGTTTTGCTTTGGTACCGAAATTGGTACAGAGAACCGTGGATTTTCACTGGTATTGGTACCGAATACTGAAATTTTGGTACCGTGACAACACTAGTGCTTTATACAACAGATTCACTTAAAGAGAATACTTGTTAAGCTGCTTGCTTTAAAGGGATAGATCACCTTCAGTTGCTGGTCCCCATTGACTTGCATAGTGTTTTTTTTCCATACTATGAAAGTCAATGGAGACCAGCAACTAAAGGTGAACTATCCCTTTAAAGCAAGCAGCTTAACAGTATTAAAAAAAAGGTTTCTGTCCACTTTTTTTTCCACTGTTATGACTTGACACTTGTAAATTAAACAATTTTATATACACAGGTTTATTCAATGTGTAATTTTTTTCCCAAACGGCTTATGAAAAGTTAAATACTACGAGCTCTAAAAGTTTTCACATTTTTAAAACTCTTTTGCTTTAGATCATTTATTTTCAAAGCTTTAAATGTACTCTCATTATGAAAAGAACTTTATTATTGTTTATTTCGTTCTTTATTTAGTTCATGCTCAAAAGTAACCAAAACAAAAATAATTTGTTTATAATCTCTGCACAGGAGAGACTTGGTGTTGTTTCTAAACAAAAGGAAATGTATATCGCTATTGGCATCGGCTATCGGCCAAAATGGAGTAGAAAAATATAGACATAGTGGATATCGCCAAAAAAAACAACAATATCATGCATCCCTACAATTTTTTTTTTGCATTTTAGGTATCGACAGAATTTCTACGCTAAAGTTAAACAGAAAATGATTGTGTCGACACTTGAGAAATTATAGAAGAAATTAACCCGGAGAAGATTTCCACATCAAAAAAGGAATCAAAACAGAAACTGAGATCTTAAAAGTTCATTTTGGCAAGCCATTTCGAACTACAGAAACAAACTCCAAATGAATTCCTTTTCGGCCTAATTTTGTTCATTCTTCGATTTCACTTAAGTTTATAGGGGCCTTTTAGTGTGTGAGTGTAGGCAACTTTTTCTGATTATAATGGAAATATGCAGTTTTGCCACTTTACAGCACGCCACTCATTCAAATGTCACAACTGACATGCAGGTTATGGAACAGCGTGGAAAAGAGAATATGAGTGGTAAAAAATAGAGCGTAAGCAGCTTCGAAGACAGATTATAAACAACACATTGGAATCATTACTATGCTAATAAGCTCATTTCTGAACCTTCAGTGGATTTGTTTCGGTCACCTAAAAAATGAGGTTTTCTGCTGTTGCCTCAAACCACACAGAATAACCTTTATAAAAACTGATAAATTGAAGTTACTTGTCTACTGTAACTGTCAAATAACAGGAAGGAAGCCCTGACAGCAGATTTGCATTATTCATATGAAAATGGCATTAAAGAAAACAAAAAACCCAAATTTCCATTGTTTACTCAGCCTCATGCTGTTACAAACCCAGGGCTCATCAAGGCTTGCCGGCTGTGGTTAGGTCAATGTGAAAGAGCTGCAGGCCAGCTGACATTGGGCCAATGCTTTATCTTAACTTTTTATCATGTATATCATCATATGAGTGTTTTTCATTTGGTTTTCTTTGACATTTAGTGGCAAATTCTTTTCAACCCTTTTAACCTTGTATATGTATTGCATAATACCGTATTGTCCCGAATATAAGACGATGTTTTTTTCTTGGAGAGGTCAGTAAGATAATGTTTTTGAAAGAAGTCTCATAGGCTCATCAAGGCTCATCATTTATTTGATCAAAATACAGTAAAAACACTAACATTGTGAAACAACTGTTTTCTATTTTAAAATATATTTCTTCAGTGTCACATGATCCTTCAGAAATCATTCTAATATGATGATTTGCTGCTCAATAAATGTTTCTTATTATTATCAGTGTTGAAGTAGTTGTGCTGCTTCATATTTTTGTGGAAACTGATGTTTTTTTCCTCAGAATTCTTTGATAAATAGAAAGTTCAAAAGAACAGCATCTATTTAAAATCTTTTTTAACTATGTAAATGTCTTTCCACTTTTGATCAGTTTAGCATGTCCTCGCAACATAAGTTTTAATTTCTTTCAAAATAAAAATGTTAATGACCCAAACTGTTAAACGCTAGTGCAGATTTGTGTTTAAATGTGAGAAAAATGTACAATAATAAACGATATATTTTAAAATAATTTAAAAAAATAAAATTCTAATTATTAAATTGTATACATAAAGCTGCAGTCCGTAAGTTTTGCATCTTTATCGCCATCTCTGTTTGAAACCTGCAATTGCAGTTATTTGCGGAATCACCTTCTTTACGTGGGTCGGCACGGCTCCTCAGCACGAATTAATGTAATGTTTTGAGGAGTATGTGTCCGCTGAGGATACTTATACTTAGGAATCACAGATTCTATGTCTTGGAAGTAGGATCCAAATTAGAATTTTCACTGGATATTGTCATCTGAACAAGTAAGTAACATGTCTGCCACTTTTGTTCTGACCAACTGAGGAAAAAAGGCATTACAATAAATCGTGCTACCAATGGTGATTAAATCTAATTATTACCTAGCTCATATCACATCAAACCGTGCAAATTATTATTAATTTTAACGTCAGCATTGCGTGACTGTGTGTATAGTATGTATTAGCGTTACCTGTAGATTTCAAGTTCTGCACAGTGTAATCTCTAATTGTCATACCATTCGAATTTTATATAAAGAAATTGTTAATTTAACCCAAAAAGCAAATTAATGTTCTTTAGAATTGGTTCTCTTTGAAATACAAATCTTGTGTAATCCCATGTATCTGTAATCAGATGCACATTTAAAACTGGAATATAATCTAATTTCAGTCACTCACATGTATTTCATTAACACATAATTCTTTCTGGATTACAATCTGCCATCAAAATGTTAAATTTAATTATTCCAGCTGCTGTGAGAAAAGGCAATAAATGATCCGCCACCTGCAGCATCATCACATGCGATATAGCCTACTAGCTGGGACTCCTTTATGTTTACAGATGTGACAATGACGCAGAACGGCAGCATGCTCATATTTCCAGCGAAAACCTACCAGTACCACTCAAATTAGAAAATATTATTACAAGCTTACTGTTGTGAATCGGGCTAAGGTAAGGAGATAGTTTTGAACACTGGCTAAATGAATGAATGAATGAATGACCCTGCAAAACTCTTTTTTATGTGAACACCAAAAATAACATTCACCACTCTTTTACATACATTTAAAATTAATTGGGTATGGAGCTCAGCACTAAAAAAAAACATCATTAACATACCATTAATGGTCTATACAACTAACGTTATATTCCAAGTCTTCTGAAGTCATACATCATCTGAAGTTTTATTATACTGAAAAAAGTGGGCAGGATATTCTTTAAGAGTTTTCCTTCTGTACTCCACTGCAGAGAGTAAGTCAGAGGAACAACATATGAGTAAATAATGACTGCTCCTAAGGTGAACTATTTATTTTCTAATTTATTTCTCTCCTCATCAGATGCCGACACAGGAGGCACGTTTTTTCTTCCTCACTTTCGATTTACAGGTTTGTTTTTATTATTTCCTTGTCACAGCAATGGCCAAAGGTGCTGATGAAATTTGCTAATAATTTCTGTTTCACAATCTCAGAGCTGCCAAGGCGCAATGCTTTATTTCTCGCAGATTTTATTTAGAGTTTAGAGATTAATGTGAAATAGACTGCATGAGAAATCCAATATTAGCCGGGAAAGAAAAGGCAAGGACAGCATACGGGCTACAGTCCGCACATTTCCCACTGGGATTTCATACAGACGCCTAATAAATATATAATCAAACATTATATAATACAACATTACATTCCCTTGCTCTTAAGAAATAAAAATGATATGCATTGTGCAGAATCTGCAAAAAAGACCCACAAGACATATTCATGATTCTGATACAACCTTGAGTTCATTACTGTATCAGATATTCAGTGACTGTATTTGATGAACATCAGTATGAACTGCGCCAAACATAAACATAAATGTACAAAACATATGAAGTACCTGAGGCTGGACAGATCTCCTTTGGCCGACATGGACGATCCATGCGAGTGCAGATAAGAGGGTGGACGGGAGGCCTGAGGACCCCGGCGGATCAGTTTGCCAGTGACGGGGTCATATGTCCTCATTTCCGGCGCTGGCAGGGGCTTCTGCTGGACAGGAGGGGCCTGGAACAGAGGCTTCAGGAAAGACCCGGGGATGTCTGGAAACATGGCGGGACTATTGCTCCTACAGTAAAAGATGTTATATTTAACCTCTAATCTTAAAAATAAATCCTCGTAAACTTAAAAAAAAAAAAACAGTTTGTGGTCATTTTTACATTTACTTTTTCGGGTCCAAAATGACCCCCAACAGTTGGAGGTGGAGACGAGTGAAGTACTGTATAGTAACAATAAAACTAGACACTTCTTTTGGAATTTTAGTAGGGATGTAACAATTAGTGGTCGACCGATATATCGATATATAATTTTTTCAAATATCTGCATCGGCCGATAAGTTTTTCTGTTTGGCCGATGCGTTCGAGGCGGGACTTTTATTTTGACGGCGCCGAGAACAGCAGCGCCTGAGCACACAGTGCTCACATTCTCCCTCTTGTTCACTGTTGTTCTGTCTAATACGGATAGACGTCTGTCTAATAATCAAATAGAACGGTTTGTTTACTTCCTTTTTAATAATATTTGTATTAAATATTTATTTATTTGTGAAAAATACTTTGTCATCTAAAGTATAAGTATGTTTATTTAACAATAATTTTTTAATCCATTTTCAAATTATTTCAAATTTCTTAAATATCAATTAAAATAAATAAAATTATATCGGCTTTATATCGGCCACCCTGCTTGCCAAGATATCGGCATCGGCTGTCAAAAAAAAACAATATCGGTCGACCACTAGTAACAATTCACTCAACTCACGGTGCGATACAATTAACGATACTGATTTCACGATACGATTTTCCCACAATTTTTTTTAACAAAATTTGATTTAAGACAAATTCTAAATGAAAAGGTGTCCTTTTATTATTCCTCAGATAAAATGCTATACATTTCCTTGCAAAATTGAAATGTCAAATAGACTTTTTAAAGTTAAATTTACATGTATATTTTGTTTTATTTTCGCTGGAGCAACACCCGAGTCTTCTCCCATTTCGCTTGATTCCCACGTCTGCTACCTGCGCAGATATCAACAGAACAACTAGGTTTTAGGTTGCCAGGTTGAGGTCACAAATGGGTTGAAATTTTTATGATGTATCGATTATGTGAGTAGGATGCGTTTCACACAAGATCTGGCAACTGGACAACCTTGGGATAATATATTGATATGATGATTCATATAACGAGGTTTGGGCCACGCAAATTGTGGGAGTTTTGCGGGAGAAATAAAACGGGAGGGGTGCGGGAGATGGGTGTGAAATACGGGAGACTCCCGGGAAAAACGGGAGCGTTGACAGGTATGTTTAGTACTGTCGCTTTAAGACCTGCAAGCATCTGATTCTCTCTCAACTGTTTACTTTCATTTTAGACATAACCAACTGTGTTTATATGTAAACCTTGTGAACATCAGAACAGCACGTGAATGAAATGTTTAACCGGCAAGGCTTTAAAGCACATGCAAGTAATGTACTTTTGTGATTGCGAAAAAGTGCAGTGTCCCGTGAGTGTATCTCTACCGCAGAGTTAACACTGATGTGAATGTATGTGGCGTTGTACAGCATTGAGGCGGAGGCACCAGAACTGCACCTGATAGAATGTGCGCTGTTGCATGATACTACGATATTTCTTCAAAAGCAGATCGTGGAGACATTTTAATCGTCCACGATCAAAACTCGTCATATCGAACACCCCTAGTGTGTGCTATTCTTTAAATTTAGAATGATTTTTAAAACTGTATCTTTAGCATTATAGTTATCATCCTTGGTGTGAATGGGCCTTAAAGGTAACAAAGGTAGTTCATTTCAATAGTGAAGTGCTATAAAGCCTTCTGAAGCCAAATGATAACTTTGTGTAAACAGACTGAAAATCTTGCATGACAGTCCTGGACACAGTTCACGTTCCTTTAACAATCTGCTAGGCATCTCCTTTTGTGTTCCACAGAGGAAAGTCATGTGCATTTGGAACAAAGTGAGAGTCATTTTTGTGTAACTCATTAATCTAATAATTCTTTAATATTGCAGGAGTCAGAACAAGCTGAAAGATTTCTTGCCAAGGTTTTGTCATATTCTATTCATGAGTGTTGCAGTTCAGCGAGTGAAAAGCACAATGAAAAGTGCAGCAGTCACGACCGAAAATACCAGCAAAACAGAATGTTGTTTTTACAATCTTTATGCTGAAAGGCACAAGTGAACTTAAAGGATAAAAAAAGCAGGACAGACAGACAGAACAGAAGAGAAAGAGAGACTGTGAGAGATAAATACCTGTGTGATTTGTTATAGTCCTCTCTGAGAGGAAAGAGTCGCTCCTCGACTCGCTCCCAGCGCTCCAAACAGGCCCACAACCATTCAGGATTCACCACATGGAGATGTTTACAGCCCTGAGCTTGACGAACTTTCTCGGTACCTGACGGAGACATGCATACATAAAAAACAACTCAGATAAACTACACCACACTTTCCATGTGTACGTTTCTGCAATGTTTCTCACTCCACTACCAGCAGCAAAGAAATGTAGTCGGAAGAAAACTAGGATTAAAAAAAAAACCTGTTTACCACCAAATGCAAAATGCCAAGATGCAATCACTGCTCCCGGCTATTGAAAGTACATTCAAAGTTTGAAAAGTTCATAAAACTACAAACTACGAAGTTATAAAACGGAATTGCACAGGCTACAGGGGCACTAAGGTCACGTTTACACAGTCAGTGTTTGGGACTGATGATGGATGTCAGGCCCCATTTACACCTGATATTAAGATGTGTTTTGGTCAACCCGATCGCAAGTGGACGATGCTAAATACAGGTGTGAACGAGAACTAAAATGTTTTGAGCTTGTCCAGTTTTGACCACTTCCAGAGGTAGTCGAAAATGCATTCGACCTGATAGTGTGGACGCTCATGCGGTTGAATGCATTCAAACAGCCACTAAAGGCCACTAGGGTTGTGACGGTGAGGTTAATCAACGTGTGGTGAAAAGAGTTATATCTCTTATCTTTTTAACCCTTGTGCGACCTTTTGGACATTTTTGTCCTTTTCAGTTTTGTTTTTTTGATCATTTTGCCTGTGTTATTGCTAACTGCATACATTTTGGCTAGCTTGTAAAAGCACCATGCGAATTTTCCGTTCACTTTCAAATTAGTGGAAATTTTCCGTCAAGCAGTTGTTTGTTTTTAGTTTGTTTGAGTTTTCCCTCTTTTCCTTCGCTTTTAAATAGCTTAAACGCGTGATGCGCATTTTACTTTCACTTTAAAATTAGCGGCAATTTGCCATCAATTGTTTGAATTCAATTCAAGCAACAACAAAATACAACGAAGAACATAGAACTTTTATTAACAAAACTAATAAAAATACACCATGCTATATGCCTAATATAAAATAACAAATAACTTACATAAGGTTTAGGTATACAAAACTGAAGATCAGTAAACACTGTGGAAAATAAATAAGAAACGTACGTTTATTAACAAAACGATTAAGAAAGCTTGGGAGACACGGCATACTTGATGTAAAATATAATAAAAATACACAGTTTAAATAAAATAAAAAATCAGCAAACACTGTGGAACCAAATAAGAAACTTCCAATATCACCTTAGATAAACGGTAGAAGTCAACAGGCTTTTCAAAATCCAAAATATTTTTAAAACAGGCGCTTTGGCATGTCGTTTTGAAACTCTTCTGCCATCGTCTTGTCTGTCTCACCTCACTCTTCTTGTCAGCTTCTCCTCACGTGATAAATGAAATCTGATCTGTGATGCGACTGTTGTTCGGCACGCTGCATCGAGCAGCCGCGTTCAGTTTTAATTGTAGTGTCTGTTCTCAAACTGAACTAAATGATTAAAGGCATAGTTTTGTTCGGAGTATACATAAATAAAAGTAAAGCCTTTGCAGTTTCAAATGATTTATTCTTATCTTTATGACCAAAAATGACCATAGTTTTTCCCACAGTGATAATGACTATATCTGATGAGCCTCTCACATGAACACAACACATCATTTATAGCATTGGTAGATGTTTATAGGCCAATGTTATTTATAACGAATGACATTATTATTAGTTATATTTTATAGTTGCATACATAATTTAGTACTATCGTTTTATATATATATATATATATA